AATTTAAAAGTTCAAAAGGATGATTTAGGCAACTTTCCTCTACTTCCTTTTTAAGACGACATACCTAAAACTCCTTTAATTTTTTTACGATGTACTTCAAAATTTAACACTTTAAAAAAGCATTCATGAATTTTCAATAGAATGTATTGCAATGCCCTTTAAAAATTTATCTTTTATACATCTTTATCATCATCGGATATACCAACAACCGGACTATCAAAAGAAAATGAAATTTTTGTTTCCAATTTCACCATCTTATTAACAAAGGTAAAGAATATAAAGATTTGCAGCATTTTCTAGAAGGAAACGAAAAGGCTTGGAATTTTTTTCACTAGCGTTATCTATAATGAAATATTTATTATATGCGAAACTATTAGTGAACAGTTACAAATTGCTGGCTTAATTTACTCGATTTAAGTACAGGAGAAAAAAAAACAGATTTTACAAATTATATTATTCCATTTACTTTTGTTTAAACAATTCGTATTTTTTTCTCGCTACATTCCTATCAATTTATGAAATTATAAGCTCTTTATATGTTACGCTACAAATTTTCATCTGAATACCTTTAAATTCAAATATAAGATTTTATTTATAGATGGGAATATGTTCTAAAATTCTTGATGTATTTATGTATTATTAAAAAAAATATCAGTATTATACATGGTGTTCCGTAAAGACCACCCTTGATATATATTTTTAGAATCGAACAAAGTATGAAAACAAAAACAAACAAAAAACATACACATTGGGATTCGCAAAATTATTCAATTAATTAATTGATTGGTTTTAACAAAGTAAAGTCAATAAGATTTTGGAAATCTACAAATTACTATGGTGGAAGGCGAATGTAATAAAAATTAAACAGGTTTAATTTATGTTTGAAAGTTCGAAAGTTACTTCTAATGTTACGTCTTTTAACTCCTCGCTGGTCCTCCTGAAATCAAACCTGTCTCGTTATTTATTGCTTCTGTTCTCCTGCACGGTGATAAGTCAAAAGTGAATATCGTTTTAGTATTTCCTTTGCGTAAGTACTATTTTGCTACCTCCGAAGTGCATACTTTTTTTCTCGTTTTTCACAAATATTCTAAAAGTACTTATTAAGAAAGTCCAATGAACTTTACGGAATACTCTTTGCATTATAGATTACACGCATTTCACGGATTTACTTAATGAGAATATAAAATATTTAAGGCTACCGACTAGATGAAATTCGGCAGTTTCTTTTTTTATTATTATTATTATTATTATCTATATTTGAACGTCTATTCATTAGTTTTCTAACTTTTTGTTCTCCGATCTTTTGAAGTGAAGTCTTATTATTTTTTTTTTTTTCAATTACAGATTTTTATATATAAGTTTTCAGAAAAACGCTGATTTTGAGAAAATCTTTTTACGCTAACCCTCATCACAAAAAAAGTTTAATATAGAATCCTTTGAAACTTTGTATGCAGATCTTATATAATGTTATCGATGTCTTACACTAAAAGCTAATTTTTAAGTGAGAATTTACAATTTTTATCACACTTTAAGTAAGATTGTATTGATGTAGATGTGTTAATAAGAAAGAAAAAACATTGGTATTTACATATTTAGGAAATCTGGGAACACATCAGCACTACTAATTTAACTTTCACGTATGAAGCCCGTGCTCTTTATTATTTTATATATATATATTACGATCATCGTTCCATTTTGTTTCTTTTTGTAGTATACTGAATAAATAGTTAGTTTAACTTAAAGATGTCATGTTCAGTCAATACTAGCATAACTCAATAATTTCTACAGATTGTTCAGAGTTTTTCCTTAAAAAATCTATCAGCTCTATTTCATTGCATGTTTAAAAATTTTTATAGTAAAATTTTTAGTTCGAAACACAAGCAATCATTGTATCGATTTAGAAAAAAAATTATTTTGATACTCATGTTGATGCAACGTTGTTAATGTGACATTAAAAAAAATTTATTTTTTTAGGTTTAAATTTGCTCTTATTTTGAAAAAATATTTACTTTATATTTATCATTTTAGGACCCCTGTTAATTTTATATTTAAGGTTATTTTAAAGAAATAGCATTGAACCCAGTTCGATACCTTAAAATGTTTAAAATAATAATTAGCTTGAAATAAATTATTAATAGTTAAGGGATAACATAACACGGAAACATTAAGAAAGCAACATTAAAAACACACGTGGAGGAGTTGAAGTCAGGTGATTTTGCAGGCCAGTCGAGATGTAATTGNCTCACAAATGAACCAATCAGAGATTAACGCTGATTTCCAGCTGACGGCGTCCTGTTCTAAGAAACCAGGCCTTTAGGTGTTACTGTTTATAAATTGTGCAATATATAAACAATAATGTAACATTAGTAGCAATTTTGCTAAATTAAACATAAAATGAAATTAATAATTTGAAAAGTTCTTCATTTGTTTTCTTTTTTTTTTAAATTTTCGTACTTTAAATATTTTATATATTGTTCGCAAATAAACTGATCATAAAAATATTTATTATACTTTTTGATATCATTTTTAAATATGAAGTCTTATTAGCCTTAAAAAAATAATGATTATTATTATAGTCATTAAATATATTTATATTTTTGTACACAATAATAAAACTCTTTCGCTCCAAGATAATTCCGTACAAAATATAATCACTTAAATATTTGATTATTATTTAATTTAAAAAAGGTTTGAATCAGTTTTGAACTGTAAGGTACACAAATTTTTCTCCGTTTTTTAAATATTTAAATTTTTCAGAAAAAAAGCCTAAATTTAAACTAAATCAGGCGCAATATAGTTTCTGGTTAATAAAATTTCAAAAAGGTTTTCTTTTTAAAATTACGCTACTCAAGAACTATTAGAAAAGTATTATTCAAAGTATTGTCCAAAGTAAGTCAGAAAAATATTGTGCTGACATAAAACACACAGTGCTGACGTAAAATATCCTCAGTGGTAGACGGATTATGGGTTAAAGTCCCCTTGCCGTTAGGCTAACAGTGGCATGTTTTCGTGGTTTTTCTCTCCGTTTAACACAAGTGCAGGTTAGTTCTATCAAAAAAAGTCTTCCACCAAACCAAATTTCTCCCAATACTTGATCCAGGAGTTGCCTTGTCTTCTGGATGGGATTCAAAATTACAAGGCTACGGAGTTGGACATTAATAATCATAAACCCAAAAAATCGAGTCGACGATGGTTATAAAAAAAATTGTATTTGTTGTCTAAAATTGTATATCTTAAAGCATGCATATATTCTACAATTAAATTTTTTTTACCTTTTTTAAATTAAATAATAAAAATAAGAAATAATTCTTTACAGTTTCTTTAATTGAATTATTTTTTTAATATGAAAATTTTATAATTGCGTGCAAAATTTTTTTGATACGTTTAAATAGATTTGGCGATGGGATGAAATATGCAAAAATTAAAATAAACATTGAGGTGTACTTCTCAAACTTTCGACTATTCTCCTAAATTATGCGGACCATATTTCCCAGATTGCAGCTACTACCCATACTTTGTAGATCAAAAATCACAAATTGGTTGGTATTTATTCAAGAAAAGTTCGTTTCTGTGTCTAATTTTATACAATGTAATATTTTCTATTAGCCCATAAAGCCACTTAGATTTCATTCTAGTACACAACGATCCAATCATTAGATTAAAAGTTATTAAGGTACTCCGTTTTTTATTTTGTGCATTGTATTATATACAATATAATGTACAAAAACTAAAAAGAAAAAACACAGTGTATTTAAAAAATAATCTGATTTCATGAAAGTTATTTAAACAAATATTTATAATTGCAAATTAAAATTAACACAAAAATTACTGGAATAAATGTTACGACAATTATTTAAATTATAACTCAACTCAAACTTAATCACATCTGAACACTTTTGAGCCTATTTTTAACTAAATTATTGAAAAATAAAGCAAGAAATTGTCACAACTATTGAAAAATCTTTATCAAAAATTATCTGCGTTACGTTTTAAATTTAAGAAATGTTATCTTTTAAATTCATAACACAAAAATCGAAATTATTTTAATTAAAAAAAATTGCTAATGGGTTTTATGTATCATTTGTAATAGTTTCTTAATTGAGGAATATTCGCTAAACAAACGTTTTTTGTGATAAAGACGTTTATATACCTGAGTGTGAAATATAATATTAATATCTAGCTCTTTTCTTATAATGATTTTGCACAATTTCAAAATACTTTGTACAAATATATTTTTTAAAATTTATCTTTTTTTTTAAATTTCACAATTTTAAAATACTTAGTACAAATATATTTTTTAAAATTTATTATTATTATTATTTTAATTCAGTTTATTTTGTTAAATATAACATGTGATTATATCTGAAAATGATAGAAACAGCTCTCATCTACTCAAATCTTACATAAAAATGGAAATATATATTTTAAGATTTGTATTTATTGTGTAATAATATTCATGCTTCCTTGAAATTCTATGAAAATTTTAAATTAAGTCGGCAACGGAGTCGAACTCTCTAAGCTGNATATAACATGTAATTATATCTGAAAATGATAGAAGCAGCTCTCATCTACTCAAATCTTACATAAAAATGGAAATATATATTTTAAGATTTGTATTTATTGTGTAATAATATTCATGCTTCCTTGAAATTCTATGAAAATTTTAAATTAAGTCGGCAACGGAGTCGAACTCTCTAAGCTGTCGTAGTCGAATTATCGTAGTCGATTTCAACTGCCGATTCCACATATCTGATTTCAAGTGGCCGCAAGAAGCTTACACTTCCGCCGCGAAGCACAAAAAACACCACCTTACAGTAAAATAGGCTTATTGGAAATAATATTAATGTTATAATATCCCTATTTTTTTAAAAAAAAATAACCTTAGCAATTAGTTACATAATATTCTGAAATATTCAAGCTATTCTTCAAAAAAGAATTTTAAGAAATTTTTTTAAAAAATTAAAAAATGGAGATGTTGTTTTATTATCTCCATTAGATACCTGTTGATGCATTATCTTGAGCTTTATTTGTGCGCAGAATCTGAAGAAACCAAATCACCATCCAAAGTCGCATCACCCGATCAAATATCACATTCCTAAGAATTCCAAAATCAACCTAAAATATTGAAGTTACCAGGGGAAGAAAAAATCACGAGCTGTTTACGTAAAGTTACATTCATTGCCCTAGTTATCGGCCTCGTGTTGAAAAGGGGCCCTTTTCCGTTTACTTACAACAGTCGATGTTGATGTTTACGATTAGTCTCCCTGGTTACCAATAAACTTCCAATGCTTTTCAAATGGCAAAAATGCATTTGAATCGGCTCAATTATTCGAAAGCATAGATTTCGTGAGAGTTATGACTTTTTTAAAGCATAAATTCTTTCACTGTCCATTAATTCATCTCGCTTTTTTTTAAATCAAAGAGACTGACCTTATCATATAACTGAAAAGTTATTGAATTTATTCATTTTTTTTAAGTATAATTCCGAGAATAACTATCCAAAGCTGTATTAAAGCGAATAAAACTAATAATTATGTCAAAAGTTAAATTACTTTTAACTCTAATTAAATCACTATGCATTTAAAAAAAATTAATCTATCGACAAATTTTTTTTATTGATATTTAACGTTAAATAATATTAAAACAGCAGTGAAATCCCTTGAATACGATGCAATTTTGAAATTTTATTAGATTATATTACCTGCTCGCTTTATTCACTAAATCCCACGATTTCTACTATCATTTTTTGTTTATTGATAATAAATAAATTGTTATATAAAAATTGTGCATTCAATTGGAATATTGCAAAATCTTTTGCTGTATTAACGCCAGGACGAAAATTATATTGATCGACCGACCCGTAAAATTCTGATTGTTCTTGTATTGTTTACCTCGATAAATATTCGAATTTACCCCTTTTATGATTCGTCAAATTTTCTTAAAAGCGTTAATTTTTCTTTCCTTTTAAATTGAATGATTTTTTTGTCTCACAAGAGAAATACACAATTCTTAGCACGTATTAAAACTGAAATTTTGGTAAGGATTCTAATGTATAGATATTTGGTGATCAATGATAATTTGACGATCATTTTTATATCTTTATGAATTAATTCATAAAAAGATGTAAAATTATAAAAAAATATTTATAAAGTTATTTTTCTTCATATATTATACAAGTTGAATACCCGTCCTTCTTAAAACCCGTTCAACTAAACCCAGTAATCATTCCGAACCGAAAATAATACGAACTCACTATAGTGAAGTTTTTCCACAATCAAGCTGTTTTTCCCATTAATTTGCACCTTAGTACGAAACTTATCTTTATATCAAGCATTGGTAATAGTTTGCAATCGGAGCATCTCTTATTTTTGACGATTTGAAAATAAACCGTCCCGCAGAGAACTAAGTGTAAAAACACGGTTAGGTTCCCAGCCCATAGGACGAGCGTTCGCCTTCCAATGAGGTGAACTGGTTTCGAATACCAGCGGTGGCTGGTCGATACGAATTTCGCACCCGGCTCTCATCGACAACAGAGCTGACGTTAAATAGCCTCAGTGGTAGACGGATCATGGGTTAGAGTCCCCTTGCCGTCAGGCTAACCGAGGGAGGTTTTCGTGGTCTTCCATTGTTTCATCATGTAACACAAATGCGGGTCAGTTCCATCAAAAAATCCTCCATGAAAGCAAATTTCTCCCGATAGTTGATCTAGGAGTTCCCTTGTCTTCTGGATTTAGTTCAAATTTACAAGGCTACGGAGCTGAGCATTAGTAGTCGTAAAAACAAAAATTAGGTCGGCTGTTCAACGACGGTAATAAAATAGCCCATTGTGCAGTTCAAGTTCGACTTAACTAAAGTACCTACCTACCTGAAAATGAATCAATATAAATGAAAATAAACCAAGAACCAATCACATAACGGTAAATAAAAGTTGCGGTAACCCAAAGGTGACGTCATTGAAAGCAAACACGGCAAAGAATATCATGGTAACCAGAAACGGGATTACAGCAAAACTGAAGAAAAGTGTCGCCAAACAAGGGGCACTCGATTCTACATCTTCAGCCAACTATTACTAACGTTAAGTTAATTGGATTTAGAGAAAGATCCCTAGTAGACCAACACAATCGAATTATAATTTCCACGAAATTTTATTTTTGTTGTGTGAGTTTACTAAATCATAACATTTGCTTCCTTAACTTTAGGATTCTAGGAGACACTCTAGAAAATTCCATATTGAAAAAAATCCCAAAAATAGTGTCATTTTAATTAAGAAGAATTGGATATATGATGATTTTTGTGTTCCATTTACGTAACTTTAAACTTATACTCTTTTTGAATAATTACTTTTTTGTATCAAATTAAGACTTCTTTGTATTGAAGATGTTTCGTCTAATATCAAATGGCAAAATAAGAACCAAATAGCTTGAATAGTTTTTGATAACTTGATAGGATTTTCATTTACTTACATTAAATAGAAAGAGTCCTCGACTTAAATACGAGAATAAATTAATGCTATCCATTTATAGGTAATAAATTCCTCGCATTCTCTAATATTTATTCATTCCTTTTTTCTTCTTCTAAATTCTGATTTTGTTTTCTTGTGTGTTATCCAAAAATATTTTAAGTTTTCCAGTTACTTAAGCCTTCATTTCACGGCTACCAGCAGCCGATAGGCGAAATGCATAATACCAACAACCATTTGAACTATTCACGTCTCAGCGTTCGCACTCTTGGCGTCTTCATATGCTATGAGATTGTCACTGATGTCGGAAGCACTTCCAATTTGAACTCACTCGAAAATTGTAAATACACCGATGCTTTCCCATTTCCTTATAATTCTCTTCCCTCCCCCAATTCATAATTTAGGGCATGAAAATAATACAATGTAACCTCACATTTTATTTTAATAATAAGATTCCTTATAGTTTAAATTTGTTTTTTAAACTAAGATGTTTTCTTTTTTTTTTCTCAACAATTCTAAAATTTAATTATTAAAACTTGACTTGTTTTACAATCATTTCTATTTGCACATTGATGCGATTAACTTGTTCTTAATAACCTCTTTTTAAAAAATATGTATCGGTATTATGAAATAGTTGAAAAAAATCTTCAAGTTCTCTAACAAACTCAGTTGCTATTCGACTACTAACACTGGACACAGTGAGTCTTGTTCACTTGCAACTGGAACAAACATTGCGCCCAGTGGCGTATCCAGCGGGGGAGGGGGTCATAGGGGTCATGATCCCCATCCCCAAATTGGATAAAAAATAATAAAAATAATTTTTTTTAATAGTTTACAAAAGAAATAAAATATTTTAAAAATTATTTAATGGGGCATATACACCTAGGTATGTCGGAAAAATCGATTTTTCTTTCCAAAGTCATGATTTGCCAAAGTTTCTAAAAAACGCATTGCATTTATTATTTAAAGATGTTGAATACTTGAATTATTTATGGTATTGTTCTAGTGTTCATTATGAAAAAAATAAATGAGAAGACTAGCATTAAAAACCCAAGTTCTTTTTTTTTTCAAAAAAAAATATTTAAAAAAAAAAAAAAATTCGTAATAAAAATAATTGATGAGGGGGGAATCTGAGTCTATGACCCCCTCTCCCCAGGAAAAATTTCTGGATCCGCCCCTGATTGCGCCAACTATATCAGGCTCAAAGATGTCCGGAAAGGCTGCATGTTCTCAAATTCACGTTATGTCTAAGCAACCTCCGAGAAAGTAAGGATTAAATGTGATCTTTTCTCACAGTAGCTTTTCTTGTGACTTTTGACTATTTAAAAACTAAATTACTGATTATATTTTATAGTACTTAACGTCAAAAATAGCAATTACAAATCGACCAACTCTCTGCTTTTGTATAGGACAGCTCTTAATTAATGTCTACGATCCTAATATTTGAATTAATATGAATCTTAATGCATAATAAAAACTAAAAAGTACATTTAAGTATACACATTGGGGGGATGTAAATTAATATTTAAGCGAGGAAAAAACGAAACCGCTACCAAACTTTGACGAATAATCGCTACCAAACTTTGACAAATAATAGCACACAAACGTGCATGTGATAGAAAAAAATTTTAAAAAAAGTTTGATAATGGAAGAAAACAGAGAGGATTCGAAAGAAGATTATTAGTAACAGCTTCAAGTTTCAACCTCCAATTGAAGCTGTTTCAAAGATTGTAGAATTCGCTTTTCTCAATTGTAATTAGTCAGATTTCGATACCGTTATTCTATTTTTCCTTGTTTAAATCATTTAGCTTCAACAAAAACAATTATGATTTTATTATTTCAGTGATTAGATGGTAATAATTAAATAATAGTTTTTGAAACATTTTAGTTAGAAATATTAATTATTTTAGCTATCTATTATTCTTAAATAATATTATGTATCATTAAAACATTTCATCTGATAATTTGGCTTATAAATGTAACAAAAGTTAAAAAAAAATCTGATTTAAATAAAAAAATTTAAAAAATTCAATTCAAATCAAATAAATTAAAATTTTTAGATTTTTTTAAAAAATATTGTATGTTTGCCAACCCTGATAATAATATTTTTAATAATAAAATTTATTATATTATAATAAGCATTTATAGAATTGTTTTAAAAATAAATTTCCAAAAAGAAGAAATCAGAATGTTTGCCATAAAATAACCCAGGAAGCAGATAAAAAATATACTAAACAATAAACATTTTTTTTAAAAAAATATATATAAATTTTTATACAACTGATTTTGAAACAAACAGATTTCAAAACTTATGATTGTAAATTTGATCTGTAAAAAAAAGAGTTCACTTCTGTGCTAGCATATTTTTTTTAATGAAGAACTCAGACACAGGCATTCAAATGTTTGAAATAATGGCATGAAATTGACAAAAAAATTTACTTTATTCAAAATTTAAAACACTTCCAAAAAAACATGAGTTTATATACAACAAAAAAAATTAGAGACAAAGTTTAGTCTGAAATTGTTATTAAAACAAAATCCATTTTAACTATAAAGCTGAACACTAAATTTATTAATTTATTTTTATTTAACTCCAGAAATACCTGTAATGAGATTACACAAACTAAATGCTTAGTAGAAGAAGGTTTTAAGAGTCGAGTAATTTATAAAGGTCGATTTAAAATATAGTAAGAACAGAACCTGTCTTATTTTATGATCGGAAAAAATTATGTTTTACACAGTGTTTTTATAGTTATATTGTTAATTGTAATATTGTTAAACCTGAAATGTAATGACTAATCAAAATTCAAATATTTTATTTATTTTATTTATTTATTTTTATTTGATCTCAGAAATACCTGTAATGAGATTATACAAACTAAAAGCTCAGTGGAAAGTTTTAAGAGTCAATAGTAAATTTAAGAAGGTCGACTTCAAATAATATATTAATATTAGAAGCTGTCTTATTTTATGATCCGATAGGTGAAAAATATTATGCTTTATACAGTGTTTTTACTGTTATATTGTTAATTGTAATATTGTTAAACCTGAAATGTAATGACTTATCAAAATGTCAATATTATTTTATTTATTTTTATTTTATTTATTTTTATTTTATTTATTTTTATTTTATTTATTTATTTTTATTTGAACTCAGAAATACCTGTAATGAGATTATATAAACTAAAAGCTCAGTGGAAAGTCTTAAGAGTCAATAGTAAATTTAAGAAGGTCACCTTCAAAAAATATAGTAATAACAGGAGCTGTCTTATTTTATGTTTAGATAGGTGAAAAAATTATGTTTTATGCAACTGTGTCATATTGGTAAACCCAAAGCGTTAAGACTTATCAAAATGCCTCTATTATTTTCTTCTGCTGAGCTCTTTATAAAAGTTCTTATTTATTTAAAAAGAAAAAAAAACACTTCAAAGCAAAAAAAATTAACTCAAATTATTATATATACTAATTCTGTTAATAAAAATAATTTTTTAACTGCAAAAGTGAATCTTTTTAACTGTTTTTTAAAAATGAACATATTTTTAAAAATCTAAGAAACAGAAATTAAAATAACTGCAATAAAATCACCTGCAAATTAAAATAATAATGTCAAGCACTTAAATAAAGTTAGGAATGCAAATCATTATCAATTGGTTCAGGTTTTAAAGTAATAACGTCTCTTTCATCCACAAAACTGAATTCTCTGCTACTGTCTCTCATAGCACTATCTTCAGCCTCTTCATCTTCTTCTTCCTCATCAGCGTCCATTTCAAACAGCCTAACTTGTCTACGAGATGAAAACAATACACAAACCACCTTACGTGATCCGCTGACTGCAATTTGGCCTGCCTTAACATTCTCCATTCGCTTAGAGTTATTCTTCTCAATAAGGGACGAAACATCTTTTATCGGTACAGTTGAAAATGCACCACCTTCTAATGTAGGTGATTGAATCAAAGGTTGTAACTCTGAGTATAATGATTTAATTGATAACTGGAGTAACACTGGGAAAGAACTGTCAGTGTCATGGTCCTCCAGCAACAAAACCGTGATAGTCTCTTTGTTGTAAAACTTGATGTCCAATATTTGATGACTTTTATCTTTGCTGGCCGCATTGCTAGCAGAAGGCATCATAAGAACACCCCTAAACGATAAGCCGACAGCCTCTAGCGTATTGTCCTGCGTTTTTTCACGAATTAAGTAAAAATGCGAGCTCGGCATCGCTTGGTTAGAGATGATGGTGTATATGTAACCAGTTTCATCGCAGGATATATGAGAAACTCGAGGCGGCCTCTGCTGCATGCTCTGACAAACTAAGTAAGATGTCTTTAAGCTCGACTTGTCTTTTAAGACAGACCATGGACCTTTCACTGCTGTGTCAATAACTGAACGCAAATCGTCGTACAAAGTCACAAGAGATTTCTCGGGGTAATGGGGGAAAATCATTCCAGTATCTTTCACATTTGGATGCTCCTGAAGAAACTTAACCCACGGGTTGCCGTTCATCGTAGCTGGAAATGGCAAATCTTCTTTTTTTAAATACTGAGCAACACGTTCAAGCTTTACTGTTGTCTTCTTGTTTTCATCGTACTCAAAGTTGAAATTTTCTTTTAAAAACTCAGCTACAAAATTCAAGTCCTGCTGAGTCAGTTTACTAATTTCTTGGGGAATTTGCTCATCTGAGAGGCGGAGTATAACTGAATACAGCCAACGGAAGAAAGCTTTGAAGTTTTTCATACTGCTATCAATCACTTGCTGGATTTCAGTTGCTTTTAACAGAAAGGAACCAACACTTAAAACGGCTTCTTTAATGGCAGCTTCATCCAATCCTAATGCTCCAAATCTTTCTTTCCACAGGGCCATCCCTCTAAAGTCGTTCAAATGATAGAACAAAGACGAGGATACATTTTGCAATCGTTTTAAAACAAGTTTTTGAATATTAGAATAGGAAAGCTCAATTGAATGCCCAAATTTTTTAAGACCACTCTCGGTTAAATCATGCAGTAGAAACTTTTCCAATGAGTCGGATGGATTTCCGAACATCAAAAGTTCTAGAAAATCATCACTGATGGATCCTTCTGATAAGCAACTTTTTTGATAGGCATAATTATGAATTTTGGTGTCTACTTCTAATAAAATATCTTCCCATGCTTCAGAAATGGCTCTAATGGTAGAAGATAAGTAAGCAAGGAGTGATGAAATGTGACCATATTTCAGAGACACTATTTTAATTTCTTCTATGAAATCATTCAACAAAGTAACAGAATAGGAACGGTAGTAATATTTGTAGAAGCCACTTTCATCTTTACTTTCCAAAACAACTGTTAAGACCTTAAAATCTTTTGACAAAGTGACGGAGATAATTCGACTGTTGGAGTTTTTGCCTTCTGATTGATTACCCATTTCGATGAAGCCGATGGGAAACATACCAAAGGAGTGAAGATGAACCACACCAGTTTCCATGCCAATCACTAGAATATTTAAATGTTTTTGTCCTTTCATTTTCTTAAAGTCATCAACTATTTCTTCATTTTGCTTTGAAACTGTCCCATAATTCTTGTTGCAGGTATGATGTTTCTGCAGAAATTCGTGAGAACGATCAGTATAAAATGGTTTGAGATCATCATCCTTAGGAGCGCATTCAATCCAATTCAAAGATGTAACCACACACTGGACTTCAAGTACATGGACAGCTTCGGAATTTTCAACATCACACAAGGTGATTGTACCTGAAAGAGATAGTCATATTATAATTTAAAGTTATTTCTATATCAGTGGAAAAAAATAATTTCATTAGACCAAAATTATAGGAATTAAAAGAAAAACTAATAAGAAGCGATAGATTTTTTATTTAAAAATAAACAAATTAATATAGTGAAACCTGTCAAGTTGATTATTTGTCTAAGATTATATTCCTTTTCTAACTCAAATTTTCTTTTGAAAAAACTAGGTGACAAAACCTTAGGATTCTGACCACCAGTCCAAATTGATATCCACGCTAATAATAATAATGAAGCTAATAATTTGTAAAAATGGAGGGATGGAGGGGAAAACCTTTGTAAACATGCTAACTGTGCAAGATGATACATGATATAAACTTATGCATGTGGTCAGTTTTCAACTTATATATGTAACAACTTATATATATGAACTGTCCATTTATTTAAATTGATATCTATAAACTACAATTTTTGATTAGTAAAAAAAGGGGTCTTGATAATCTGACCATCTAGATAAGTTGATACAATTTTGATATATTGTTTTAATATGACAGTTATTTTTTTAAAAATTAACTAAATAAAATAGCTGATTTTACTTATGCTGGCAAAATGGAAAAGTATCCATATTTATTCTCATTAAAATTAGCTAAATATGTGTTATGCAAAATAATGCAAAGAAACTGACTTCACTTTTATAAGACTGATCAAAACAAGACAGAACAGAAAGTGGTCAATTTGAGTTCACAACCAAAGTAAATCATTTATGTTAATAAAAGTGTTTTTCAAATTTTAAAAAGTATTGTAAATAATTTTTTTCTTTTGTGCTTTAATTACATATTTGTGATTATAACTAAATTATTTTACTATTCTTAATTATATATCAATTCTTAATAACAAGTGTAACCAGTTGCTAGCATTATTATAATTTTACTCCACGAAAATGAGGATGCAAATACACTTAAATTTTTATTTAAAAAAAAGCGTCAGCCAACAATTATCTTTTAGTATAGTAAAAAAATATCATAAATGTTCAAACAATACAATAGTAAAATATGTATGGTAAAATCTATCTTCAGCAATTTATAATCTTAACACAGTAGGCATCATGGGTATTATTGGCATGGGGGTCGATTGGTATAAATCCCTCACAATAATTAGAAATCCTTAAAAATCCCTCTCAATATATTGGAAAAACAAAAAAAAAGTTTTATGTAACCAGAGCAATTTAAACCCAGCTATGTTAAAAACAAATTAAAAAATGAAAAATTGATCATCTTTTTGAAGATATTTAACACATTTTTGTTCTGTACAACCTTCTGATGCTGGAGGTAAAATTTTAAAACACAATATATTTATTTAAAAAGTGAGAAATATATGCTCAATTTATATTGATTGAGAGAAATATCCCTTAATTTCTTCAGAACTTTTGAATATTTTTTTTTAATGAAATACAATAAAATTATATTAGTTAGAAATTTCGTATGGGTAATTTAATACTTGTACATATGCTGTTTCAAGATATTTTTAAAATTTACTTTTATTTTCGCTTAAATTTATGAAAACCAAATTTAGATAATACTGAAACATTCTCTTAACTTAAATTCATGGAAACAAAGATACTTTTCAAGAATCTAGAAGCAGGCAAATGTATAATGCTAAATTACCTTAGTAAAAGTGCTAATTTCAAAACACTATAGGTAAAATTTTGTCAGAAAAATTCTATGAATTCTACTTGAACACAATCCTATATTCCATGCTACAAAAGGTACTTCAGGTTAGAATAAATAACAACTATCAGTTAATTTGTGAAAATGAAATAAAGATAAAAAATTAATCTTTAACATTTTCTCCCTTTAGTTTACACCCTTCAGATGTTTGTATTCAATCACAAGGGAATCAATGGCAAATGTTTCTTTGCAATCCCTTCCTTTTCACTCACAATAAATCTAAAGAGGGGATCTTAAGATTGATTGACAAAATATTTATCGGATTAAGAACAAATAAATGCTAAATATCAAAATTAATATGTTAAAACTTAAGATTAATAACAATACAATTCCTTGCACAAACTTTTTTAACAATAATAACAAAAATCATAAAAAGATATTAAAAAATGAAATTAAAGGAAGGTATTTTTAAAAAAAAGAAAACAAACAATATAAAATTAGTGTGTCCTCCCTGTGGCAGAATTTTTTTGGGCTTTCTGCGACATAACTCTCTAATACTTAATATCTTTCAGAAAGATACTTAAAAATAACAAATATACATGTTACTAATTCAAAGTAGCAGAAATGTTAACTTCAAAATAAATAAATGAACAATCGGATCAATAAAATAATTTTTTTAATTGAATATGTAATATTTTTCTTATTCTAATATTATTATCTGCATGAATAAAGATTAATCTCAAAAGGGATCTCAAATCTCAAAAAGTTGGCAAAATTAAGAAATGAAAGTCCTTCAAATAAATTTTCAATTCAAATTCATACTATTCTTTATACAAAGAAATAACAAATTATACAATAATTTAGGAGAGTAAGTAATAAATTATTACCCTGAGAGTCAAAATAAAAAGTTAATTAACAAAATACTAAACATATGTGCACATAAATTAAATCAAAATTGAACCTGTATCATATGCATATGCAAGAATTTTCCCATCTGGTCTCCATGATAATGCAGTTACTAGTACCGTCTTTTCTTTTGTACTAGAAGATGGAATGGACCAAACCTTTTGCCAAGATAGCCGATGAACAATTACTTCTCCACTAATTGTAGCTAAAGCTATAAGATCCAACATTGGATTCCATTCCATCAATGAAATTTCTGCTGAGACATGACGTTGTTCAAGTTGACGAAGCTTAGCCATTTTTATTCTTTCTTCTAAAATACATAATGAAGATTTACAGAAATAGATCTAGATTCATAAATGAATATAACAATATTATGCCAAGAACTAAATAATCTATATATATATTTCTCTTACACGGCGACAAAAAAAAGCCTCATTACAACTCCCCAAATGGCAACGCTAGAAAATCGACCAATGATTGCTGCTAAAAATTTCACATGCCAAATCTAGCTGAGGTGGATCAAGATATAGCGTTTTTAAAAACGGAAACTGAAATAACCAGAGAGAGCATTCTCAGCAAATGTGATATCTTCCGAAATTCACCCTATCAGCTGCGGCAATCTCATACTATTAAGCTAGGCAGAAGTGAGTAGTCTTTGTCGATAGATTTCTATTTTAGTATTTTGTCGAAAGCGCTTTTTTTCACGAATTTATATATTGTGAATTTATTTGACAATTTTTGATTTATATCACAAATTTATTTGTTTTATTATTGTTATTGGTTATTCATTGAAAAATGAGTCTCAGTCGTGCTGTTACGCTTTAAGATTTTATACTATAGCACATTTCTAATAGGTTTAACGAATTACATGTCATTTATTTGAATTCAAATTTATTTTAATGACTTAGTATTTACTAAAAAGAAGTATTTTTTTTTTTAAAAAAAAGTTGTTATATGGATTTGAATGATTGTTTTGAATTCTTAGAATTTTGTGCATTTGCAATGTACCTAAGTTAGTAGCGAGAGAAGCGAGCTTGGTTTGCAAAGCAAACCATATAAGATTGCGTAGCAATTTTTGGGGGTTGGCGAGCGTTAGCGAGCATGGGACGCAGCCCACTAGTTAATTAAATAAATTATAGTGCAACTTAATAATGTTTTGTTACATTTTAAACCACATAAACTATGCTATACATAAATTAAGCTATTGTAATCATTTATTAGAGAAAGGCACTATATATTTCTCTTACAATATTTACAAATTTTATTAACTGTGGACCCAGTTAAAATACTTTATAAAATAGTGTATTTTTATAAATTAAGGTTTTATAAAAAAAATCTACAAAGAGTTTTTTAAAAGTATAGTTGAAATGTTCCATAGTTTTTTCTATTATAAAACTTACCACAACTGAAATAAATAACAATATAAACCAATAAACAATTTTTGGCCAAATTATGTACAAATAAAATAATTAAATATACTATGTTGGTGAAATTCATATTTTAAAATCAAAAGGTATTATTTTTTTAAAAAAAAGCTTTTCAAATAGTTCACAAAACAGGGTTTGAAAAAATCATGATTTTTTTATTTAAATCATTTTGCTTTAAATAAGATGTTTTTTTTTATTTTAAATAAGATTTTTTTTTATTGAAACCATTTTTTTTTATTCTTTATTTTTTACGGACATAAAGCATAAAATTTAAAAGTAAAAGTAATAAATATAAAGAAAATAAATTTTAAAAATGTTAAAAATATTTTTAAAAATGTTAAATGTAATTTAAATATTTGTGTAAAATTTTAAATACTCCACAAATTTTTTAAAAATAATGTTTCTTTCTAAAATACATGGAATAAAACAATAAAATTGACTATATGGCAAAATGAATTATATATAGGAACAGTCGATTTAAAAGAAATCAAACACACTTATTGGTTTATTGTTTATCCGAAGTTTAGGAATCACATAATGAGAAGAAAAAAATGAATGAAATTAGTAAAATTAAACAACTAGACAAGACATTTTTCGTAGCGAAATATATTTTTTCAGAAAATAGTTCGAAAGATATAATAATGATTGAAAATAATTAAAACCTCAAAGAAAAAGAATCAAGTACTTCAAATAATATTTGATTATATTTAACATTTTCTAAAAATAATTAAGATATTTATATACAAAAATGTGCGTACATTTTTGGGGGGTTTATTCATTTCGCAAATTATTTCCAATTTAGGATTGTACTAAACCAAATGCATACTAAAGCATTGTGTGATCTGAAATTATATGCCACACATCAAAACTGCTGAATACATACATTTCATGACAAATTATTTACAGATCAATGGAAAAAAAAGCTTCCTGATCTTTAGTATTCAAATATTTTTCTGACAGTATTTCAAACAAAACTACACTTTGTCCGACATAACACTGGATTAAGATTATATTTTGAATAGGCATTTCTTAACAACTTCTCATGTGGAAGGTGCCATAAATGGAGTAAAAAGATTGCCAAAGCATTACATGTGGCATAAAATCAAAGTTGGAAAAGTTTTAATTAACAAATGCCTCGTCATTTTTCAAGAGATTCCAGTCCTTTTTCCAGTATTTTTAGATAAAAATCAAAGATTTCAGATTTCTGTTGAACAAAAGATGAAGTTCTCAAAGAAATTCCTAAGTTAAAGAAGGGGTAGGAGGGAATTAGATAAATACCAAATACTCGGTGAATAATTTCCATATTTGAATGAACTGTGTCAGAACTGAAAATATAAATGTTACAATCTACAAGGTAACATTCTATACAATAGAAATTCTTTTTTTCTAAATTCTGAAAAAAATTATTATTATTTCAAGAGAGCTTCAACATCTTGGTGGGAACTGCTACCAAATCATCTCTCACTCATCCTTCACAGAGGTGTTGACCAATAGGGAAATTCTTAGTTTCACATGACACAGCCGGGGGGGGGGGNGCCGGGGGGGGGGGGGAATCAGAGTGTGGGGGGTCAGGACAGGGAATAAGGTCTCTCATTGGGAATGAGTTTAAGCTCACTTTTAAGGGCCCAAACCCACCCAATGAATTTTAATCCAAGCCCACCTGAGCCCCAGGTATACATAAGATTACTTAAAGCCTGAAATATACATCAGAGGAAGGCCTAATTTTGCAGTCTTGCCACTATTAATGTTTCAGGGTACTTAGCCAGATTTTTCAACAAAAAATAAGCAACTTTTAAGTATTTTTTAAGCACTCAAAAAATATTTTTAATAACTTTCTAAGCAAAAAAATCACAATTAGGATCTGTACAGTAATAGAAATAATTTCTTTTCTATCGTTTAAAGTTCGAAATTTATAAACATAAAATCAATGAAATTCAATAACCTTTTCAGAAACTTTACATAATCATGATAAAATAACTAGTTTCTCATAAATATTGCAGAGAAAATTGTGAAAATCCATTTTTTTGTAATTTAGAGCGACAATCAATAGAGTAACAGTTTAACAAGAACCAATGTCGTATACCCTCAGCCCCAACGCAAGCTGATCAAACTGGTCACCCTCCCACTTACTAACCGCTCATTAAAAAGAAGAAAAAACTTTTCATATTAGTAAATGGTTTTTTTCATAAAACACTGTATTGCATGATATTATTAGAGGATTACTTTCGAATGCAATAAAAATTTTAAGTCTAAAATCTTTATAAAACAAAAGATAAAATATTGTTAAACGAGGGTTAAATAATTTATAGGGAAACAATTTCTTTTCTTTTTATGCTGAGAACAACCAAAGAAACAGAAAAACCTATACAGGCATATGATGTATCTGTTTGATTAGAATGCGTCTGGTAGTCATTACCTTCAAATTTATTTTATTACCAAATCATAAATTCAATTTGAATCATAATTCAATAAACAATTCAAATCATGACATGTCAAATTAATAATTACGATTTTAAAAGGTTTAGATAATTCGGACCATATGATGTATCTGTTTGATTAGAAAGCGTCTGGTATGCATTATCTTCAAATTTATTTCATTTTCAAATCATGAATTCAATTTGAATCATGATTCAAAAAACAATTCAAATCATGACATGTCAAATTAATAATTGCGATTTCAAAAGGTTTAGATTATTCGGAAGGGCTCAATGTAAATGACTTTTTTATAAATGTCAATAAGGTTTACGTTTTGATAGCACAAAACTATCTTTAAGCATTATAAATCAGAATGCTTAATATCAAACATTTACTGTAGGGTATCAAAGATCTACCCAATATAGGTTGATGAAATATTACCCAGAGGCAGTTTGAAGAAGATAAGGCCAGTAACCAAACGTTACCACGCTGACGTCGGCTAAATACGACAATCGTACACACAAGACCTCAAGAGAATGAAATTTTAACGCGCCGCTTACACACAAAGGACATCGTGTGGCTGCACTCAAGGAATAGGTTAATCAGACATAAGTTACTACAACAGCTAATTATTATAAATAAGTATGTGTAAATTTGCATGTAAAATGTTATTGAAAAAAGTAATATATTCCCAGATAATACTGAGTTTTATAATGAAAAAACTCTAAAAACAAACAAGTTACAGGGGAAGCATTTTTGAAAAACATGGATTTTGTCGAAACCTGAGTTATACTTTATAATCAATTTTCATTAAAAGAAAATAAGAAACTTTACCAATAATGGAAATCTATAAAACACAAATTTAAATAGAATTCATAATTTTAAAGAAGGTTTTATAAATTGAAAATTAAAATTACTCCTCAAAACGAATGTTTCAATTTTTCTTAAGAAAGAAAATGACAAAAGTTTGCATGTAACATTAACCTAACTTTTTAGTTTTACACTATTGTCACTAATCAACACAAGCTACAAGCAAATAAAGTAAGTGTCATTGCTGTTAGAAGACTTGTTTACATGCCTTCCATATGTCTTGAAACGATCTTGAAATTCTTCGATGAATTCATATATTACATTATTGATACTATTTATTTGAAACCTTGATTAGCTTGTCGTAATCTGAATAAACGCATTTATTTTTATCCTAAAAATTAGTGAATTGAATGTGATTAAACTTTTTCATAGTGGAAAAAATCCTTGAACAGAGTGTGTGAAATAATTTCGCTGGGTAATATTCAGGGGAAAAAATATGTAACAAGGAATTAATACAAAATCGACCTTTCGCTGAACAAAATCCTTATTCAAAATAGCACTCATTCACACTGGTGGAAATAAATTAGTTCAAGAATTAGATCATACATACAGAAATACAAAAAAAAACTATTAATTCTGAAGTACATTAGTTCAGCATGTTTAACGAAACGTTCACATGCGGTGAGAATTCAAAGAAACAATCTCCTGATTGTGCAAAAGATAAAAAGAATTTCAGGAAGTGCAATAAAACATTCAAACGGAAAGCCAGTTTAGCCAAACACTATCTTATTCATGCAAGAGATAAACAATTTTCTTGTAGTGTGTGTAATAAAATATTCAAACAAAAATCCAGTTTGATTATTCACTATCTTACTCATACCGGAGAAAGACCTTTCTTATGCAGTGTATGTGGTAAAACATTTGCTCGGAGAGCTTGTTTAAATAAACACTATGTTACACATACCGGTGAAAAACCTTATTCTTGCAGCGAGTGTGGTAAATTATTCACTCAGAAAAGTAGTTTAAATTTTCATCTTGTTACTCATACTGGAGAAAAACCTCATGCATGCAATGTATGTTATAAAACTTTTACACTAAAAACGACTTTGAATCGACATCACCTACTTCATATTAGAGAAAAACTTTATTCATGCAGTGTATGCAATAAGACATTTTCTGAGAAAATACAAGCTACTGAACATGCTCTTGTTCATACTGAAGAAACTCCTTATTTCTGCAGCAACATAGAGAATAAAACATTCTTAAATCAAATAAGTTTAAATGAACATCCTGTTACTAAAGAAAAGCCCTATTCATGTGGTCAGTGTGATAAATCTTATACACAAAAATCTAGTTTAATGAGGCACTTTCTCGTTCATACTGGAGAGAAACCCTATCCATGTAATGTGTGTGATAAATCTTTTAAGAAAAACTTTCATTTAATTCGGCATTATACTATTCATACTGGCGAAAAGTCTTTTTCATGCAGTATGTGTAATAAAACATTCTCTCAGAAAATCAATTTAAATAAACACTATCTTGTTCATACTGGTGAAAAACCTTATTCATGTAGCTTTTGTGATAAAACATTCACACATAAATATAGTTTAAATAACCACATTCGTGTTCATACCGAAGAGAAGCCTTATTCATGCAATATTTGTGATAAATCTTTTGCTCAAGAGAGAAATTTAGATAAACACTATATTGACCACACTAAAAATAAACCTTATTCGTGCAATGTGTGTGACAAATCTTTTATGAAAAATTCTGATTTAATTAGGCATGAACGTGTTCATACTGGAGAAAAGCCTTATCCATGCACAATTTGTAGTAAAAAATTTTCTCAGAAAGGTGCTTTAAAAAAGCATTATCTTGTTCATACTGGGGAAAAACCTTATTTATGCAGTATGTGTGATAAAGCGTTCACTCAGGTAGTTCATTTAAGGTCACACTCTCTTATTCATACAGTGCCTGCGGCTAATTGAAATCACAATCGTTCTGCTGATATTTGATTTTATGAAGTGATTGATTTTACAAACTTGTATATATCTACACTTAAAAAAATTAATTTAATGAATGCTAAATTGATTATTATATATTTTATTTTTAATGTTTATATTGGTATTTTGATGAAACATAAGCTAATTTTTTTGATTATGGAATGATCTAAAATTATCAGCATATTGTTAGCTTATTAGCAGTACTTTAACTAAAAATAAATTTGTTTTTGTAACTTTTATTGGGAGTCAAAGAGAAATTGAAATATGTTACAAATTTATCTGTAACACTTAAATCTTTTCATTTAGGCATGCTGCTAGCTAACAAATTAAACTTAAAATTAATATAAAAATACAGTTGGACCTCTATTTAAGGAAGTCGCTCAATCCCGATAATAATTTTGTTATATGGAAAATTCTATACATAGAAAATCACCTTTTGAAATACCTAAACAACACAAAACAGGCTTTAAATTCATAAACACTAGACATAATTAAAGTGGCAATTGATGCACCTTTATCTTGTAACTAGTAATCTACTATTTATTTTATAAATCTAAACCATAAAAGAAATCTGCATGAAAAGCAAGAATAGAGCAAAACATTATCCAGTGTTACACTATCATGCTTCATACATCAACTAAAAAAAGACTTAAATTTATGTATAAAATTATAGCTGCATCTATTGTAGAAGTAATTTTAAACATGCATTACATCATGCGTTCACAAGTTCAATTGCTACTGATAAGATATGTAGATTTTGTCTGAGTTTTTCATTTGAAGTGCAAACAAATAGGGAAAGGGATTTCACTGCTTTCTCTAAAACTTAAGTGGCTTCAAAAATCAATTCAAAGTAATTTACCCCATAAAATGTGTTAAAAAGTTTAAAATGTTCTGAAATAATTTGGGAAAGTGGATCTCAAAGAAAAGTTCGTTAAATAGAAAATTCACTTCGCTATTTGGAAGTTATTTTACGAAGAAATTTCTAAAATGTTTTTGGTTCCTCAAAAAAACTTGCAAAATGGAAGTTCGTTAAATAGAAGTTCGACTGTATAAACTTAATGTTTATTCTTGCTGAAATAAAGTGAAACCTCTCAAAAGCATTGACTCTCCGTTCCTCAATGAAATTAAGGTTGGTCTTTCTAATGGGTTACCTGCATTGACTTCAAAATGTTGTCGAAGGTACAAGATTTTTGCAAACAATTTTAATTTTATTCAGTGTCATTTCCTTGGTGCAGAAATGCCTCTTGTGTTGGCATCATGAAAACCAGATAATGAATAAAATTTAGTTTCAATAAAAATTATTCTTACTGATATAATAAAAGTAAAAATATATATACTAATTATGAATGAAAGAACTATTGTGAATAAATGAACAATTATGTTTTTGTTTTTTTTTTGTTTAAGTTTGCATTTAATTTATATCATAAGAATTAATTAGCTTTAAAAAAGGAGAAGTCTGTTTGAGATGCTTAGTTTCTTCTAAAATATAACTTTTTTTTTTTCTTATTTAACTTTGAATTCTAAAAATAAATAATTGATGTCATCGTCACTAGTGCAGTCTGACTGCTACACAAGATTGTAGTTCTCTTTTAGAGGTAGACAAATTGAGCTCTATAAAGAAGAACCTCACACAAATATTTTNCTTAGTTTCTTCTAAAATATAACCTTTTTTTTCTTATTTAACTTTGAATTCTAAAAATAAATAATTGATGTCATCGTCACTAGTGCAGTCTGACTGCTACACAAGATTGTAGTTCTCTTTTAGAGGTAGACAAATTGAGCTCTATAAAGAAGAACCTCACACAAATATTTTGAATACATTTTAGTTTAATTTTTGTTTTGTTAATATTGTTTGGTTCGATATTTTTCCTGGCTGCCTTATGAGACATTTTCCGTATTTGGTGCAGAGGTTTGCCCAGTTACTGGGAGAGGCTTTGATGGTCCCTCCTAAAGGTTTTTTTCAGCACAAAGTCTATGGAAAAAATTCTGTTCCTCCCAAAAATGGTCGTAAATAGAGAAGTCTTTCCTAGAAGTTTTTCTGTATTACATAACCATGAATTTGTTTAAAATTCTTCACATATTTTGATCCCACTTTTTTTGTTTAAAAATAAGTAACAAAATGCATATAGTTTTTCTCATTGAATATATAAGGCATTCAATCTGTTCTTTAGTTTATTTACATTTGAATTATTTTTTACCCTCCTGAGGCTGCTTCATTCTATATTTAACTGTATTTAGTGAATGATTATCATTGACATTAAGTAACTTTCATTATTAATTCATGCACAGTTTTTGCTTGAATTTTTTCACAGTGCTCCTCCTTGTTTCATATCTCCTTAAATTTTACATGCAAGGTAACCACACACCAAGGATACTCACAATTCAACAGAAACATATATTTTTTTTAATATATTTGGATTCTTAACCTTTAAAATATAAGGGGTATCCGCAATCTGGGAAGTATGGTCCCGATAGTCAAGGATGGCGCCAGACTTCGCCCGACAAGGGGTCAATTCTCCCCCGACAGGAGGCTCAAACAAATTAATAATATTTAACCATAAATAATATTTAAATTAAAATGAATTTTATATTTTACATTTTTTTCTAAGAATATTTTTGTTTCTAAGAATCTAAAATCACTAATATTGATACCATAATGTGCAGATTCATTTTAATGTAAATTTAAATCGCTTTTTTTTTTTCTGTTATCGATGTATTTTGTACAGTATGGGGCAATTTACCACACATCGTAAGCTTAAAAATTACTTCTGTAATAAAGAAAAATAGTTGTAGCAGTCACCGCTATTTCAAAAAATTTATACGCTTAATCTCATAACGCAAAAATGATTCCATAATAAAAATTTGAAATTTCATGCACATTTAACAAAACATTAAAGAACATTTTGATATGAAAATTTCATTTTTATATGCATCTATTGGCTTTTGAATCATTTAAATGTTTTGCAAATGAAGTTATAAATACAATTTTTGCATCCACCTATTCTTTCTAAAGATCCGGTTTTGAACGAACTTCGAAATGGTTCTGCCCATTAAATTGTAAAATTCGAATTTTTTTTAATTGTTACATAGTACAATTTCACGGACAAAACGAGGGCCATTTTAATCAGGGGACTTGATGTTAATATATATTATAAATAAACACAAAGAGACTTTTAAAATTTCTAATTATGATTCCTTTTTCTTTTCGAAGATGCTTTTAAAGTGAACATCTACTTACTTTCCGCAAAATGCTTATTTCTCCATTTGAGAAAAAGAGCGAGTCCATCGGCTTAAAATATAAAATTTAAACAATATACAATAGCTAAAATTTGTAATGATTTTTCAAATTACAAATTTTAAATTTGCGTCCGAGAAACGAATATTAACTAACTTCACATTTGAAAAAAATTGCCACATATGACTGCTATTTCTCTGCCTATGTTTTCATTTCTCTGCAGAGCTGAAAGCAGACTTTCCACCAAGATTTCTGTTTTGCCCTGCAGAAGCTTTTTACATGTTGGCATACGCCAGCAACGAATAACCTTTCTCACAGTTAATTAATTGTTTTGCCAGATATCAACGCGAAACATTCTTTCCTTTACGATTTCAATTTGCTTTTATAGTTACGAGTTTTAAGTCACAGAAAAATAAGGAGTTAAGGGACCAAATTTCGAAAAATACGAGTTTTTTTTATTTCTCGGGATTTCTTTGACCGATTTTGCTTAAATTTTGTATTTTGATATTTAAAATTGCATTCTTTCAAATGATTAAAAAATTGTATACCTTACATTTTTTTAAGTTTCTCGACTTTCATTAAATAAAGTAATAATAAATGTTTACTAAAAGTTATATTTTGCATGAAATCATCTTTAGAAAAACGAATTGGAACTGTTGTCAGTGCTAACCGCGACAGTATATGAATTAACGTGGTAATTCGAACTCAAGTCTCATCAATAGGAAGTGAAATCACTCATCACATAAGCCATATCAGCTCTAGAATATTTATTATTTTAGTTGTAAAAAAAAATGGAAAATTCAGTATGCAGTATTATAAAAAGTTCGTTACGCAAACGTGCTATATGTCAATTAAATTACTTGCTGTGCAGTTTAGCCATTCCTCCATCTTACAATTTGGGAAGAAAGCAGTGTTTATAATAATACAAATAACATACAAATAAATAAATAAAATTCAGCGTAATAGAATAAATTCTTATTTTTGTCGGGTTTTTTTTAAAAAAAATTTCTCGACAGGAAGATTAACTTTTCCGACGAGAGCTGAGATTACAATCCTGATTTGTATGTCCATTTTGTTAATCCTAATTTTTTTATTATATTTAAAAAAAAAAAAAATTATGATTAAAAAAACTATTTCTAATGGTATACCACATGCATTTTAACTTCAGAATGATTGAGGTCCTCTTTATTGTAGTTCATAAGACAACTTGCTAGGAATTACAAGTCTATTTTAATATTTTACTTATATATGAGCAATTATAATTGAATTTATTAGCACATCTAAATGTATACACTATTTACGAGCAAATAATAAAGAAAAAAAGAGATTGACAGAACAAACTTAGTTCTTCACTTCTTAAATTAAATAATTTAAAAATCGAATTCTTTACATTAAACGGTGTGACGTTTAACAAAATATTTTTCTTTATTGAATGCGGAGAAAGTGTACATGCATTATAGTCAGTCTCAAAAACTGCGGTAACGTGAGTACGATGGGGTAGAAGCTAGGACAGTCTTCTTGTCTCCCCCTATCCCTCAGGGGTGTTGAATAACTTTCCATCTGGACACAAACAAAAGACGTGACCCTCAGAATTTTCTGAGGAAAAGTGAAAATAAAAAGAACACATTTTCGTCTTTAAGTTTTTAATTTATTCTCATTTACAAAAAGAAAGTAATAAATAAATAAAAAAGCTAGATTTTTTTAAGAATGTAATTATATTTCTTTTCAAGACCGTTTACCGGACAACAGTTAAGTTCGTCCCCATAGGGGGGCAATTACCCCCTACTGGCGCCGCCCTTTCCCATAGTTTAATCAGGAGAACGATCCAAAGTTCGTACCTCTAAATGTTAATTTCATTATTTGCGTTTTTAGTCATATTTTTAAAACTAACTAAGCAATTCAAAAACAATTGCACCCACTTATAAAACCCATTTATCCGAAGATAATTTCATGCAAAAAATAATTTTTTACAATTATTTATTTAATTTAATTGTGGATGAAAGAATTTTAAATTATGAGGGTATACATTTTTCTTATACCATATTAATTTACGTGTTTTTCTGTTGCAAAATCTAGTTTTAACAGTTTTTATTTAATAAAAGCAGAGAAAAATTAAAGTTAATTATTTTTAAAAAAAAAATAATATGGCTGCAATGAGGAAATATTTAATTGGAGCGATTAACATTTAAATGTGGTTAACTTAAAAGGAACTTGACATCCGCTCGCGTAGAGTAAAATTCCATCCATATTTTTTTTCTAATCACATTCTATCAAAAAAATGCTTTTATAAAACTATAAACATTCGTTGAACAAAATGTTTTATTCAAATCTCTTTTCTAAATTAAGAATTAAGCTTTAGACGACTAAAAAAGAAGCATCGTATTTAATAATTCGAAAGAAGAAAAATTGAGATCGCTGCAAGGCGATCACAGGTTACAAATTGGCAAAATGGTTGTTGTCTAATTTTTTTTGGACAAGCAACTTTATTGTGTTTTCATCTTGGACATCTTTAACTGTTAATCCAGAACTGCTAGGTACACAATTTTGCAAACATATTTGAATGCAGCTCGGCTCAGACACATTCTGTGCTAATTCTTTTGATGACTTAATAGGCATTGAACAGCCAATCGAGATCAATATTACCATTTTCGGATTGGTACAATGGCGTTTGAAGTAGATTGTAAGCTGCATCATACACCCGTTTGCCCGTTTCGGATTCACAAGCTCATACATGAAGTATGCTTTGAAAGCTAAGGTTTTATTCAATGTTTCATGAATAATTTATATTGCGAGGAAAACAATCTACGGTCTTGTGCAAGTCATTGGGTACGTTGACAAAATGGATCCTTTTATCCCTAACTGGTGATCAACACCTAGTTCTCGCATTTGCATGAAAGGGGTTCGGAGAGCCGCCATTCGCTCTTCGGTAGGGTTCAATTCTCTCAACCACTTCGGTACTTTTTTGAAGGACGGGCTTCACCCTTGCGCTTGCGAACGGAATCCTTTCGTTTTTCCGTTTGTGTGTAACGCGTTTCGCACAAAAGGAAAAACGAAAGGATTCCGTTAAGCGCGCTTAAGGTATTCTCGTCTACGTTCTTTGGCTTTTTCAGCCTCGGAAAGCTTAGGTTTTTTTCTTGCTTCAACTCTAACTTTTGAGACCGTATCAATCAGTTTGGACCCTCTTTATTTGTGATATTCACCTGAATTAGTATTGAAAACGATCCGTTTGTACTGTAGTTTAGAATTTCTGATTCTTAATTAAGACAATAAAAACTTATTTATTCACAACTCAAGATGTATTCATGGGATCTCTCTGAACCCATACCTCAAAAGTAAACTGTCCAACTTAATGCATAACAGAATTAAAAGAGAAAAGAAGAATTCTAAAAAAATTATCAAACAGCAGCGATCGCCTTAGCAAAGCATGCAATGACGACGCATGCGCCTGTTTACTATCAAGGGCGGCGCCAGTAGGGGGTCAGGGGGGCTGGAGCACCCCCGTCGGGCATGGCCAGCCCCCCCCCATCGGGAAAAATTTAAAGTCTCGTCGGGAAAATAGTCTGGTCACATTTTTTTTTTCTTAAAAATGTCAAAAATTCATTTACAAATGCCTAATAAAAATTTTTGTAGTTGACTTTTTATTTATTTATTTTTAAGAATTAGTAACAAAATTTAGTAAAATATGTTGTAAATTCTATGTAATTGTAGTTTCACTGCACTACTCCTAACTTTGCTCATACATTGTTAAACTAGAGTCCGGATGCGATTAGACATGGTTGAAATTGAAGACTTTTCGAAGACCCATAGAAATCCTTTCCCCTCAAACACATCTTGATTTTCTTGGAAACTTATCTTTCAAACTGCTATTCTTTTTTCTCGAGAACTGAGGAGGGGATAGATAATCACCCCTCTTTACTGGGAGAATAACTGACAAAAGCCTGAGGGACAGAGAGAGAGAGGCAGTTCCTCTTTACAAATTCTTTTTTATGTAACATGTTTATCAATGGTTTATGGGATCACATAATTGCTTTGTGAAATTTTCAAGCAAAATGAAAGTAAAAGAATAAAATAAAAAAAATTCAGTTTTAATTTTTTTAATACTTTTAAATGAAGAAAATCATTTACTTATTCGGATTCAAGGTTTATATTTTAATCAAAACATTAACAAAATATTTGTAATTTATTTTAATTTTTTTGGCAGATTTAATTTATTATTTTTTTTTTATCATTTTCTTAGTAGTAAAAAGATTGTTGATTGATTCAGAGAAACAATTAAACTGTCCGTATTCAATATCTTAAAATATATATTAATCAACATAATAGATTCTCATTGACTTATTTTATGTACAGTGTATGAAATGGAAAAAGGGAACACCTTGATTAACTTTTGATTTAATCGTATATTCACGTATAAAGAGTCAATACCATATTTTTACGAAAAAGAGCACTAAAGCGCATTTTGTTCAGGATAAACATGCAAGTTTGTCAAAAGTTTAGTTTTAGGTTTTTAATTTTCAAAATGCGGAAACAGCCGCAATCTGGAAGATGATAGTGTCCAAAGTTATGGCAAAAAGAGAGATGGAAAGTTTGGGTCCTTTAATTTTAACTTCATACTTCGATTATTGCGCATTATCTCGAGAACTTCTTGAGTGTATTGAAAAATGTATACATTAAATTACAAAAAAAA